TTGGCTGGTCAGAGTTCAGCCACCTCGCTAGAGTGCAGGCCACCGGGCCATGCCAAGCTGATGACATCACGCTCCAGGAATGCCCGCTGCTGTTAGCTCAGGAGGCCCACTTGGGGGGGTTGCTCCCTGCGGCCTTAACTCCCCCCCACACCTCCCTCATTACCCCCTCCCCAGCACTTGCCCATTCTGATTCCTTTGCTAAACCTTTAATCTCCTATCTCTGCCTGTCTGACTCCAGCACTCAGCTTTTCTCACTCCCCTAGCTTCTGCCTAGGTCTCTTTAGGCCCGTCTGTCTGTCCTGTTTATAGGGCCTCTTCTGGCTCTGTCTCTTTCCCTTTCTTCTCCTGTGTCTCATGAGTTTCTAAGTCAGCTTTTCTAAACCACTGGACAGAGCTGGAAATCGAGGTTTTGATAGGAAGATGGCAGAGGGGGGAAACCTGCCCATTCTACACCCTGTTCTCTCTCCTCCCCCATCTGTCCCTGACAGTTTAGGCACCCTAGAGCAGTTCCTGGGTTTCACCTTGGGAATGGTCCTGTCTTGTCTGCTTGCAGAAGATTGTGGACTGCCTCTAACCCCAGAGATTAGGGTCCCTCTAAGCTCAGGAAAGCAGCCTAGCATAACAGGAAAGGGGACCGATTTTGCCCCCAAACAAAGCACTTTGTCCTCCTGCAGTAACTTCAATATGTCCTCACCTCCATAGAGTCTGTCCCTGGAAGGAGACTGACGGGGTTATGAGAGAACAGCTATGCTCAGACAAAGAGGCTCCTGGGTTGAAAGGTCCCAGAGGGCAAGGCTTGTGACAATGTGATTCTCTCTGTGCAAATCATAGAGCACCTTGTTCAGACTTCTTCATCATGAATTCTGGCATGTGGTTGGCTTTACTCTCCCAGGTGGCTCCCAAGGCACCATGCACTGGAGAGGAAGGCACTCAGTTCAGGAGAGGGTTGGGAGGAGAGGGTTGTTGTGGGGGTTGTGTAAAACTGTTGTGGAGGTAGAAGCAGTGAGCAGAAGGGAGGGGAATTGGCTGGAACAAGGCCAAGGCAAATTGGAATTGCATCAGATGGGGAGGAAGGACAGATAGCAGTTAAAAGGAAAAGCACTAAAGTCCAGGTTTAAGTATATCAGCCAACATCAGGGAGCAGCAACCCCAGAGTGGGAGAAGCCCTGCACTTGGGCTGTGGGATAGGTTCTAGCCCTTTCTCTGTTGCTTCTAGGGCGAACTCTGCGTTGCAAGGCTTTCTACAGCGTCAATGGCTCTGTGTACTGTGAGGAAGATTATCTGGTGAGTGAGGACCTCCTAGACCTGCATGTGGGCTCCCACACTGACCCCCTTCTCGGCGGCTCGTTGTGACCCCATTCATCATTCTCAGCTTGGTAACATCCTTCCCTTTGCCTTTCTTTCTCCCTAGTTTTCAGGGTTTCAGGAGGCAGCTGAGAAATGCTGTGTCTGTGGTCACTTGATTTTGGAGAAGGTAAAGAAGTGCCTTTAGCTGAGACTGTGAGCTGAGGGGCTGAGGGGTGGAGTCAAGGACTAAATGGGCACTGAGAGAAGGCTGAGAAGGAAACCTATCACCACATGAATCACTTTCATCGCATTCCTCCCCAGAGCAACCATTTTCAGTGTCTTCCCTCTGCCTGTGGCATCAAGTCCTGGATCCAAGCCTGCTGTCCCAGGCTTCTGTGACCTGGCCCCTCCCTAATTCTGTGGGCACAGCCAGGCCCTCCAGCCTGAGCTAGGAATTAGGGTCTGAGTCTTATTTCCTTTGCTGTTAGCAGTTAGGATCACTTTGAACTCAGTTTTCTTTTCTGTAAAAAGGGAAGGTTGGACTGAATCAGTGATTCTCAATTCTGGCAGCCTCACAGATCACCTGGAAGAACTAAAACAAATACAGTGCTTGGGTCCCATCACCTGAGTTTGTGGTCATAGGTCTGCTGTGGGGCCCGGGCAGTGATTTGGGGGGGGGTTGTTTGTTTGTTTTTGAGTTGGAGTCTCATTGTGTTGCCCGAGCTGAAGTGCGGTGGCACACTCATGGCTACTGCAGCCTCAACCTGCAGGGCTCAGGCAATCCTTCCATCTCATCCTTCTGAGTAGCTGGAACTACAGGCACACACCACCATCCCCCAGCTAATTTTTTGATTTATTGTAGCGATGAGGTCTCGCCAAGTTGCCCAGGCTGGTCTCGAACCCCTGGACTCAGGCAATCCTCTCACCTCAGCCTCCCAAAGTGCTGGGATCATAGGCATGAGCCACCAAGCCTGGCCGTGATATTTTTTTAAAAGCCCCCTAGGTGATCCTGATACGTAGCCACGATAAAAAACACTGGCCTGAATGCTAAGGCCTTTTTCAGTGTTTCTGCCTCCATTTGAAGACTTCTTGGTCCCCTCAAATTGCGTAGCGTTATTCTAGGAGTAGAGCAGGGGGCTGAATGAGTTAGTGGGAGTAGTAGCAGGGCACATAAAGGACCTGGAGAGCTGAGCCTCAAGGGAAATTGGTTCTCTTCCCCCCACCCCCCACCCATGAGCCAGATCCTACAGGCAATGGGGAAGTCCTACCACCCAGGCTGCTTCCGATGCATCGTTTGCAACAAGTGCCTAGATGGTATCCCCTTCACAGTGGACTTCTCCAACCAAGTGTACTGTGTCACCGACTACCACAAGTGAGTCCACCCCTGGGGGTGCAGTGTGAAACTGGGCCTGGGGATTCCCCAATCTGAGCTCATCTCTGTCTTCTCTCTTTCAGAAATTATGCCCCCAAGTGTGCAGCTTGTGGCCAACCCATCCTCCCCTCAGAGGTCAGTGTGTCTGGGTTCTCCCGCAGGGCAGCCAGTGCCGCTGCCTCCGGGGGCGGGGTGGGGACATGCTGCCTGGCCTCCTGCGGGAAGCCGTGGTACTGAGGAATGTACTCTGCAGAGATTCCCGTGTGACTCTGATCTTGAGGTCACTGCCCTGACCCTAACATCCGGGCCTGGACATGTCTGGCAGGCTCTTGGGGCCCAGACTCCATCTCTTCTATCCAGTCCAGAGGAGGAGACTTTCTCTGAGGTTGAGATCACAGATGTAGGGGTGGAAAAAGGTGGGAAGAATCCAAGGGCTGGATGGAAGGAGTCAGAACTGATTTAAGCCGTGTGTGTGCCGAGAGTCTGCCTAGGGAGAAAAGTCAATGAGGACCAGACCCTACTGGATCTTGGCTCCAGCCTAGCCTGCTTTATTTATGCCATCTATCTTTTTCCCTTCTTGCGTCCTCACAGCTGGGAGAGGTAGGTAAGTCCAGGACTCCCGTGCAGAGGCGGTACTCCACAAGGGGTTATACCCTCCTGGGGCAGCCCAAGGAAGGAGAGGGGGAGTCTTGGTAGGATTTGCAAAGACAAGTCAAAGCTACCGATGACTGCAGTGACACTCTGGGGGCCTTTGCATGATCTTCCCGTGGGGAGGGAAGGACTGTGTCTGGTGTGGAGTTGGAGGCATTATGCTGCTCTCATCACCATGGGGCTCTGTGTGTTTCAGGGCTGTGAGGACATCGTGAGGGTGATATCCATGGACCGGGATTATCACTTTGAGTGCTACCACTGTGAGGTGAGTGTTGGAGTCCAGGGCTGCTGAAGAAATGTAACTGGGGAGAGGAGAGGAGTCAAATTCTAGAACAGCCCAGACATCTATGGGCGAGGGGTAGAAACCAGAAAGGTGCTGTGATCGATTTCAGTCTCTTGCTTGTCCTCCGGCCACTTTCTCTGGTCCTAGTTCTTCAGTCCTTTCGGAATCTGACTTTCCCAGATTCTCTAAGACTAGGGACTCCTAGTAACTGCAGGAAATGCGGGCTTCTCTCATTATTTCTGCTGCAGCAGCGACACCTGGTGTCCAGCTGCGGTATTTTCTCAGGTTTTTCTTCCATCCCTTCCATCCTTCTCGCCCTGCTCCAACACTTTCTTCCGTTTTTAAGAGTCTCTTGTTGAGCAGGGCAGACTCCCAAGATGTCCTCAGTGTCCAAGTGCCCGGGCAGAGGTGAACTAGGTGCCTTCTTCCCTAGGACTGCCGGATGCAGCTGAGTGACGAGGAAGGCTGCTGCTGTTTCCCTCTGGATGGGCACTTGCTCTGCCACGGCTGTCACATGCAGCGGCTCAATGCCCGACAGCCCTCTGCCAACTATATCTGAGCTGCAGTCACCACCATTGACAAACTCCTGGCCATTGGGTCCCTCTGAGGCCAGCCAAGGCAAGGAATGCATTCTACAGGCCTGGCAGAAGAGTCCTCTGGGGAGCCCCCCAGGAGCCAGAGACCCAAAGATCATAACATTCCAAATGGATTGTGGAGGAGGAACCTTGTAATTACCAGGGTGGGGGTGACTGGCCTTCTTTCCATGTGTGCAGTCTGTGCTCGCACACAGGCGGGTTCCAATGCTTTCTGAATGTCTCCAGTCTATGTGGATGTGTTTGTGCTTAAGTCAAGCAACATTCTGATTCTGGATTACAGGAGGAGAGAACCCAGTTTTAGGTCAACTAGTCTTAGTCAAATTGACTAGGATCGAATCCAAGTGTTTGCTCTCTCCAGTTCTCCCAAACCTCAGAGTTTAGGGGTTGTGGTTGCTGCAGTGCAGGATCCCTCTGAGAGGTGGAGAGGCCTGGAATGCTGAGCTGCTGCCCGGGAACCAAGCGTAAGCTCCTCACTGTTTTGTACCCCACACATGGTGTCGGCTATGGGGCAGCCAGGTACTTTCCGGACTATCCTAGCTCTGTATCTGGACGAAGAGGTAGAAACTCGACCTTATGAAGGCCAAATTATTTCTTGGCCTTCTTCTCTCCTAGCACTAGGAGAGCTCTTCGTCCCTCTGCTGGGAACGGGGGCCAATTCCGGGTGGGCCTGCTGCTTGTGTTGCCTGCTTCTCGGGGACTCACATGGACCTGGGGAGGCCAGGTGGCTGCCTGACCTCAGTTGCTCTTCTCATCAGCAGGAGGAGGTAAAGAGTGGGTTCTGTGGTGTGGAGCTTGTTAGAAGGGATGTCTGAGAAGCTTCAGGCTAGTCACACCCCCAAGTTTAGGTGCACTGAGTCCTGTAGCCCAGTGTATGTGCAGGTGGGTACGTTTATGTATACACACACACACACGCATGTGCGTGCACACACATACACACGCCCTTCTTCTCAGGTCACTGTTACACTTGGTTCCCTAGCAGTAGGTCACCATTCCAAACCTGTCACCTCTGAGAGGGATCCGGTCCCAAAACTGGGGTTTGGGAGAGCTGGTGGGAGAAAACATTTAGATTTGGTTCTAGTCAGTTTGGCTGAAACTAGCTCACCTAAAACTAGATCTCTTAAAGCCAATTCACTGAAAACTTGTTTGTTTAAAGTTCAGTTCACTTAATGACCAATTTGCCAAAAGCTCAGTTCCCTTTTTGGTGTTTTTATATCCATTTAGGTGACCTATTCTTTTTTTTTTGACATGCTTCGGGTATTTCAAGGATTTATATCTATTCATCCCAGAAGTACTTCTGAGTTTTTTATCAGCAACATAAATTTATCAAATTTGCAGCACTTTGTAAATGATGAGATTGCTTCCTACCTTTACGAATGTCTTTTCTATGTTATCTGCTTTTCAAAAACTTTTTTAAAAAGTTTAAAGTTTCTAGCAATAAATATAATTGGTACAGACATTTTGTGTATCATTTTTTGTGTTTCCTAATCCAATATTCCTATACAAATTAGATGCCTGGAAAAACGTAATGAAACTCAACATGAGTTTTGATGCTTTGGTCTAATGTCTACATTCCTATGGTTAAAATGCCAGTATATCCTAAACACATGAATAGGTATGAGGCATATGTGGTGACTAACAATTAAAGGTTATATAGACAAAAGCAATAAAAAGTAAAGGGTGAATCTGCTAAATCCTTTTGAAATGCTGCAGATTTGATAAATATTTATCTTAGACTAATTGGCTCTTGGTGAATTGGTTTTAGGCAAATTAATCTGATAATCTTTTATCCTTAGCTTCATTCTTTGTCACTCAGTGAGTTTCATACTGGAAATGACTCCTGAGGACAAATATTCCACATTTGGGGGTCCTTAGTTGACTATGCCGGCCAACCTGGGAATTACATCGAAGAGGCCTCTGAGAAGGAAAGAGTTCAGATTCAAACAACTGAATGCCAGAGGGGGGTGTACCTTTTTGGAGAGAGAAATGTTCTGAACTGGATTCCGTGTTCTACAGCTGAGTTGCTTCTTCTGAAATATCATTATTAAATACGTGAATACAAATATCCTGTGACTGGGAAATTTTCTCAACAGGCTGCGCCAGGCCTGGGAGATCCAGACAAGCTTGTTTAGCTTTACATCCATCCCTTCAGTTCTGTCTTCTACTCTGGGGATCTTGTCCACTCTGTCAGTTTGACCCTTTGTTTCTTGTTCTGATTTTTGTCTCCCTCTGTTCCTGACCTGACTGGCTTATTCCTTTCTAGGTCTATGCTGATTTGTCCTAGCCCTGGGGCTCCCCAAGACTCTGTTCTTGCCACTGGGGCTATTCTCCCTTCTTTCTGAGGAAAACACAAGTGATAGCAGCAGATGAGGGCAGGCCATGGCAGAAGAGCAGCCCCAGCCACCCCAACATCATCACTGGCAGGCTCTCAGGCATACTCTGCATCACAAGAGCAGGGAAACTTCCTCCTGTTTGCTGGGAAACTGCTCCTCATTGTCACTACTTAATATATAGAGTTGATGAATGATTCATGGGGAGCTGCCAGTATACAGCAAAAGGTAGACCTTGTTTGGTCAGCTTGCCGCTGGATTTTCACCAACAGCCACTACTCCTGTTAGGGAGAGTGGGGAAATGGAAGAATTGTGGATCTGTTTTGTGTCTTTAGACAAGAGTTGTAGGACAAGGATGAGAGTTGCAGACATCAGCTCTTTGCGCTGGCCAGCCCTGTTCACCTTAGGCCTGAATGTCGCTTCTTAAGAATAAAGCTAGCCGGGCTCTTTGACTCAGCCTGTAATCCCGCGCCTTTGGGAGACAGGTGAGTGGATTGCCTGAGCCCACGGGTTCGATACCCACCCGGGCAACTTGGCAAGACCTCATCTCTACAATAAATCAAAAATTAGCTGGGCGTGGTAGCGCACACCTGTAGTTCCAGCCACTTGGAAGGCTGAGGCGGAAGGATCACCGGAGCCCAGCAGGTCGAGGCTGCGGTGACTGGGAGCGGGCACTGCACTCCAGTCTGGGTGACAGAGTGAGACTCCAACTCAAAAAAAAAAAAAAAAAAAAGAATAAAGCTAGCTGGGCTCGTTGGCTCAGCCTGTAATCCCGCGCCTTTGGGAGGCTGAGGTGAGTGGATTGCCTGAGCCCGTGGGTTCGAGACCCGCCTGGGCAACTTGGCGAGGCCTCATCGCTACAATAAATCAAAAAATTAGCCGGGCGTGGTAGTGCGCGCCTGTAGTTCCGGCTACTTGGAAGACTGAGGCGGAAGGGTCGCTGGAGCCCAGCAGGTCGAGGCTGCGGTGGCCGGGAGCGGCCACTGCACTCCAGTCTGGGTGACACAGTGAAACTCCAACTCAAAAAAAAAAGAATAAAGCTGGGGGCGGGAGGACACACCTCATCAACAAGGGTACCTGCACAATGAACATTTGCATACCTAACCCTGAATTGTACCCCATGTCTTTAAAATTACAAATTAAATAAAATAACAAAACAAACACAAAATAAAGCTGGTGGTTGGGCACTGTGGCTCACATCTGTAATCCCAGCACTTTGGGAGGCTGAGGTGAGGACTGCTTGGGCCTAAAAGTTCAAGACCAGGCCAAGTGTGGTGGCTCACACCTATAGTCCCAGCACTAGCTGGGTTTGGTGGCTCAGTTTGTAATCCCGCACCTTTGGGAGGCTGAGGTGAGTGGATTGCCTAAGCCCACGGGTTCGAGACCCACC